TTGTTGGCCTAATTAGCTGACTGGTTCTCCTCTTTTTTTATCTTTTTAATTTATTTTATTTATCTTTATTTATTTCAAAACTAGGATTATTAAATTATATAAATTCACATAAAATCACATAATTAGTCAAAAATTCACATTAATCAACTAAAAAACACTTTCCATAATTTAACATAAATATAAATCTATTTATCATGAGTTAATATTAAAACTATATTAGTAATTAATTATTAACTCATGATAATGAAGACTTATCAATCCTAAATTCACATCTTTATATAGAAAGTATCACCAAGATTCTTTGGTGATATAGGGCTCAAAGGTTATTAATCAAATACATTAGCCATCTGACTAGTATTGAATTTGTAAAGAAATCAAATTTGAAAACACAATAGTTTCTATAACAACATAAAGAGTAGTAATTTTAAGTGGTAAAAACCCAAAAAATTTCAAAAAATCAATATCATGAGAGTAAAATACATTTATTGAATTCCAATGAAGATATTAGTCATTATTACTTTGACTTCTTCATGAATTTATATTCAAACTCATGCATAATTAAGTTTGAGAACAATAAGATTAGTATGATTAGCAAATAAATTATTTCACAAACATATACAATAAAACTATTTGATTGGGTACTCATAACGTTATGGAATGTAATGTCAATTTGTGAAGCCCAATCCCCTTCTATTTACCAGGAAATATTACTAACAGCCATGGACCAGCATTTTATTTGCCACCAGCCACCTTCAATCCTATTGACTAGGGCTCCAGCTTCTCCATTTTTAAGTGAATCCCCAATGATTTAGTCACATCCCAACAACTTGCTTCCCTCCCCTTACATTTTGCAATTGATCCATAACAATGTGTTTGTTTATTTTCATTGGCACTAGCTCGAGTGGTCAGAATAAGCACTATCAGGGTTTGCTATTCTATTTCAAGTATTTTAAACCCTAGCTTCCTCCCATTATTTGGATGAACCAACTATGCCACCAATGACCAGTAAAAGTCTGATCTCAACCCTCTACTTGGAGACCTCAAGGCCATGTTGGTCCCTATGGAAGGGGCCACTACAAACTTGTCCAATCATGCCACAACATTGTGGCTCCCAACTGTTGTATCTTCATGATAACTCTTATTAATTACATGATAAAATGCTTAATATTTAATAATTTATTTTTTAATTTTTAATTCTTTTATAAGCTACTTTAATTTTAAAAAATAATATTAAACTTATTTATATGATTATCTTATTAATTTCTAGAAATTACATGATGAAATTGACTATGAAATATTTTGATAGGTTTTTCAAATGGTTAGTATTATTATCAAAATACTTCTATGTCAATTGCATTTATTTCTGAATTTTTCCTTAATTTTATTGAAGTTTTTTAAATTTTCTTTAGCTTATTATGATAAATAATATAATAATAATAAAATTAAAATATGAGACTAATTTTTTTTAGGTTTTCCACATCAACAACGGATGTAACAAATATAGCGAGAAGTACAGCAAATGATTTGACAAAATCAACAGAATTAACACACAAGAAGATAGAAAAATACTAGGGGAGAAAGAATGGAGCATCTTTGATCAATCTATCACTTTCCACAATCATTTTCTTTCTCCTCCCATGGTGGCAAACATTGGATTTGCCCAAATCATCTTGTTCGATACAAATAATAAATTTTTTCTCGATTTCTCCCTAATTCAACCGCTATAGAGGTTGAACTTCATCCACAAACTCGTTTTATTCTTCGCTTGATACAAATGACAAAGAATTTCTTTTGAGGATCCTTCTCCAAACACCATAGCATGCTCAAAGTCGAACCACCGGTGTTAATTGGTTCCAGCAAGTGATAGTTGTTGAGATTGTCATTCATCGACTAGAGATTGTGTAGGAATACATTTGGTGCACAGCACATGCCCAAATCGATCAAATTTGGATGAAAAATTGATTGTTAGCCATTCCATCCATTCTTCCGTAAAACTTGAATCTTTGAATCTATTCAGTTCTACGTTGTGTTACTAAGAATTTCTCTTTTCAAATAAGAGTTTATTTCTAAATATTTCGGCTTTGATTTTGAGAAAGAGTCGATGTATCTTTGGTGACTTGAATTTTGGGGGTGTTCTTTGTGGGCTAATGTCAGCTAACATAAAAATCCCTCATTTCTTATTTTTAAATTATTTTAATTAATTTTCACGATTAAAAATTCTAAAAAGTAATCTATCAATTGGAAATTATAAATAGAATTAACTAATTTTTTATCTTTCTTGTATTCAACCTATAAAACCCCTATAAAATTAAATTATTCTAACTTAGCTTATTTTCCAGCATTTATAAATTAGAAATTTGCTGAATTTTATTTACAATGATAGAAAATATTCAGTCACTTCCTCAATTGGTCTAAATCAGACTATGTTCTCTACCTTTTAGCTAATGGGTATGTCGCAATCCTCCACAAGGACATTGTCCTGAACTACTCTGACAGGTGCTTCTTGTTGGAAGTATGTGGAGAATGATCAAAGCTGATTCTTTGGCATTAGACAGTTGGGGACTTCTCAACTGCATATGTTGGAGGTAGGGATCAAGAACTCGTCAGACTTCATTTACATGTATGGGCTTGTTCAGTGGAAGCAGGATATCTAAGTGTGCGGTTGGGGCAGATGTCTGCAGTATCTTGTTTGGAATTGGCGAGCGGTAGCCCAGAGGAATGTCTATATTCCCAGCTCCAACCTGATGTACAAGATCAGCCCTACTTCTTCCTCACCGTCATTCATTCTGTCTCCAGCGAGTGGCATGAGCACCATCGGTGACCGTGAAGAGAATATGACAATCTTAAAACCAACTATCATCGATTTATCTTTCATCGCATTTCGTCTGACGTCAAGGTGAAGAGATGTCAGCGTCTCCCTCCATTCAGCCGCCACCATCTATACCTCCCAGTCTTTCCGGGGCCCCATCTCCTCAACAAAAACTAATCCCTTCCTACGGGTCCATCTCCTCAGTACACGTCCAACTGTTAAAAGGCAAGGCAGACATGCGTTGACACGTAGAGAGCCAGTGGTAGGGTGGTATCTACTGCAGGGCGGCCGTTTTCTTCACTGTTTGCATCGTCGCAGCGGCCATTAGGACAATCGTACGTCATTCGCGCCCTTTTCCCTCTTAATGTTCTAAAGCACGATGATCCTGGGTGTCGTAGCATGCTCTGGTCACCCACACTTGATCCTGAGGTAATAGGACCTCGGCCGGTTCCCACCATCCCGGCCCTCCCTGTTTCCAGTGACTGCCATCCTCCAGTCTAGTTGCGTGTACTTCTCACCTATTAGTCAAATGGGTGTCACACGCCGACGGCACTTTTTCCGCCGCCACACTTGACTCGTCACAAACGTGACTTTCTTCCTGGTTCATTCGACCCGCCATGCGAGAGAACCTTCGAGGAAGGGATCGCGAACGCAGAAGGCAGCGACAGACACGCGGGGAGTTCATAAATATCAGAAAAATATGTGTGAATCCGCTAAAAGGTTTGTTGACTGCCATAAATTATCTTTCCAGAGGAGAACTCTGTACCCTGTGTTCTCAGACCTCCACCAACCACACTAAGTTTGATCTTCATGATAAAAAAAGCACAGTTCCTTCACAGTTACTAATCGAGAATTTTTTTCTCAATCTTTAATTGAACAAATGCCAGTGAAATCTATAAATCATCATAAAAAATTGTAGAAAAACATTACTCCATCTAATAAATAATGTTACAATTCATTCATTTTCGGAATCTTCCAATTCGCATATTCAACTGTAGCCCTTTCTGTCCGTTAACTTTGGCACCCGGGGCATTTCCTTCACATGCTGAAACAAGAAAGCCTATTTATGAAAAACATAGTCCTTTCCTTTTCATTCAATAACACTAAGCAGCATTCTGATGCAGAAACAAATATACGTTTCATATGACAATGTCGTATTGTTTACTACGTATAACGTTGTCCTCTCTTTTGACTTCTGTTTTTGGTTATCTTTGAATTTTTGACCATTACTTTACTCAATTTATTATATTAATACATAGGAAGTTATAGGAATTTCTCTTTCTTCTCCGCGTTGACTTCTTCTGACCGATATCTTGTATCCAGATATTTATGTTTTCGTTTTAGAAAAACCACTGAAGAAGAATGGAATATACGTAGATATAGTTTTATCAGAACCAACAGTTATTTCCAGGGCTCCAAGGCCAGCTGAATTAATTGCCCTCTTTACATTTTAAGTTGACTTTTAAGTCCCCAAAAAATCGTTTAATCATCTTTTGGTCTTTCCATCTAGATATAGCAGCTTCTATGTCACTTGATGTAAGAAAAACTAATTGACCCTCGTAGAAGCTCGGTGATAGCTACGTTACTAGTTATGGGGATAAGTTCATCCTTTTCATCTAAAGTATAGATAATGTAACTAATCAAATAAAGGCACTAAAAACTAAAAATGTATTGACTTTTAGGTCCTTGGAGGTTCAACTAAAGAATAAAGAAGCTTATCACTGATTCAATCAATTTACCATGGATCAATCCTTAAAAATAGCTGGGCGTACATTCTGTTTTCAGTCAGCACTTTAATTTTCTGATGGACGACATTGGAGAAATATTTTATTTATCTTAATTTTTAGTTAACATGACGTTAATTTTTTTTTACAAATATTAAATTACCTTCGACATCTCTCTCTCTCTCTCCCCCCCCATGACTCTGTTTCTATGTTGCCAAGCAATCAATCGGAGATGTGGCGAGTGTTTTTCGCGTCAAATTATTTCTTCATTTATGACGCAATAGGATTTAGTCTGTTCGGCTTTCCTCACGGCGACGAGTGAATACTCGCTAGTCCTCATGTGACTTTTGCTCCTGGGAAGCTTCGCCTCAGTATCGGCGGCGGCCCCACAGCACTGGACTTAAGCAGCCTTCTTCTCCTCTTCGAGCTCCCCATCCCCCCCCCCCCAAAACCCCGGAGAAGAAGAAATGGAGAGGTTTCTTCCCTTCAGCGGGCCAGCCGGCAAGCTCACCGTTCTTTCCATGCTAGCCCTTCTCAACATCCTGTCGGCGCCGCTCGGTCACTCGCAGGAGAATCCCATCTACCTCTGGTGCTCCGGCAACACCAACTACACCGCCGGCAGCGAGTACAAAGCGAACCTCGACCTCCTCCTCGGCAACCTCAGCGCAGTTCCCGCCAGCGCCGGCCGGGGCCACTTTCGCAATGCCTCCATCGCCGACTGGACCAACCCCAATGCTGTCTACGGCCTGGTCCAGTGCCGCGGGGACGTCCTCGCCGCCGACTGCGCCTCATGTCTCAACCGTTCGGCCTCGGCGGCGGTCCTCCGGTGCCCTCTCCGTCGGCGCGCCGCCGTTCGCTTCGACTACTGCCTCCTCCGCTTCTCCGACCAGAAATTCTTTGGAAACATGGACGATACAGAAAGGAGCTCCCTGGTGAACTCCAACGGTGCGCCCGACCCGCTGGCGTTCGACCACCGGCTGATGGATCTCATGGTGGAGATATCCTCTCAGGCGGCAGCTGCGAGTTCCAAGTTCGCCGTGGGGATCAACAATTCCGATTCCTCAGTTATCTACGGATTAGTCCAGTGCACTCAGGACCTGTCAGAATCCGAGTGCAGCCAGTGTCTTCAGGGTCAGATCAGCATCCTGCCCAGGGGGGAGATCGGGGCTCAGATCCACGTTGCGAGCTGCTCGGTGAGGTTTGAAACCAGCATTTTCTTCGCGACTTTGGCCATCTCTCCGCCCCCGCCGCCGCAGAATCGGAGCCTTCCGTCCCCCCCCCCACCTCTGCCTGCGAACAACGGCGGCAACGGAACTGACGTGAGCTCGGGTGGCAAAGGTAAATCGCGAATTAACGCACTCCTTTTCAATTTGATTGTCCGGCGGTCCTTCGGTCGTCAGTTCATCTGGTCCCTTCAGGTCAAGATCAGTACTTTAATCATCTATTACTCGCGTTCAGAAACAAGGCCGCGTGTTAATTCTTATCGCTTTCACCACATCTTTGAACAATTGTCATATTTATTCTATTTCGGAAAATATGTGTGGCTCATCTAGCTCCTAGCAGTTCTTGACCAAGCATGCAGTATACCGAAGCTTATAATCCGTTAAGTCGCCTATACGTACAGATTATATGCGTTCCTCTTTAATCTGACCAATCCTCCACGTTTGACTTCTTGCTTCTTCTGGGAAAGTATAAACAATCATCATTAGTTAGAACCACCGTTGACTGAGTCCCCTCGAAATGAAATTCTAAATTCATATTATTCTATTTCAGAAAATATGCTTGCTCTTATCCAGCTCCTAGCAGTTTTTGAAAAAGCATGTGCCATACAGAAGTCAATAATCAACATTCTTCTATATCGGTAAATCTTCTTTTTATTCAGGTCAACCATTTTTTTGACCATGCAGGTGAAAAATAGCATGATATGCAATAAAGTAGTTGACAATGATGCAATAAAGAAGTCAGCTTTAGGAATCGATTTAGGGTCTCCATAAAATACTAAATGAAGAAACCAAAATAAACTCCATAGATAAGAACATACTTTGAGCCATACCCATCTTCTGACTTCTGCTCAATGACAGTTATTTATTGCTGGAGAAGCTCCAATGTTTTTCTAACACGATGATGATGATTACGATGATTTCATATGCATTTTTATTTAGTTACGATTAATATATTTTTATTTTCATCGGTAGAACCTTCGTTATATAATTTATCTCGTGGGTCTTTTCTATATGGGACAGAAAACACTAGCAGATCGTGGAGAATCATCCTGATCATCGTGATCCTATTATTGGTTGCTGTGATAGTTCTCCTCCTTATCCTGCTGATTCATTTCAGAAGAAGGATTCCAAAAGGGTTGCCACTTAGTGAGTCTTCCACGATATGAAATGTCAATAATATCCATAAAAAAATATTCGATATTTTTCTAAATAGTTCTGATTTCTCTCCTCAGATCTTGTCAAAGATCAGGAGGTTATAACAGCAGAATCTCTACTTTTTGACTTTCGAACGCTTAAAATTGCCACCAGAAACTTCTCTGAAGCTAATAAGCTTGGAGAAGGCGGATTTGGTCCAGTTTACAAGGTAATATTTCACTAGTGTGAGAAATACATCATATTTTCAATATTTATTTTAAATATTCCACTAATGCAAAGTTCTTGATTCTACACAGGGACTTTTACCAGATGGGCAACAAATAGCGGTGAAAAGACTATCTAAACGTTCCGGGCAGGGCTTGGCTGAACTGAGAAACGAGGTCGTCTTGGTCGCCAAGCTTCAGCACAGGAATCTTGTCAGGCTGTTAGGATTTTGCTTGGAAGAGGAGGAGAAGATGGTGATCTATGAGTACTTGCCTAATAGAAGCCTCGACAATTTCCTATTTGGTACTTAGGCCTCCTAAACTTCCTCTTTCATGATTTATTTTCTATTTAATCACATTATTAAATAGGAAAATATGAATATTATTTTCTGTCGTAGTTTCTTGCAAGTCCTGACCCCTGCTCCATTGCACGTTCTATTTCATCTAATATGGGCTTTGTATCCTTTGCCAACTTGAACTAGATAGACATGGGCTTTTTTCAAAGTGATCTACCCACATCTGATGATCCTAATCACGTTTTCTACATGTTCATGGTAGATCCTATCAAGCGCCACGTTCTAGACTGGGAGAGGAGATACAAGCTTATAGAAGGAATTGCTAGAGGGCTTGTCTATCTTCACGAAGACTCGAGGCTGAGAGTCATTCATCGAGACCTAAAGGCCAGCAATGTGTTGCTAGATGAGAACATGAACCCAAAGATCTCTGACTTTGGCCTCGCCAAGCTCTTCGGCATGGATGAGACCCATCGGAACACTAGTCGGATCGCAGGCACTCAGTATATCTCTCCTGCGCTGAATCTCTACTAGCCAGTTTATTGGGGTTATCATATTGTTCTTCAGTATGATTTCAAAAATTATACTAATTTTCCAATTCTGCATGCAGCGGCTACATGGCACCAGAGTATGTGATACGCGGTCACTTCTCACCAAAGTTGGATGTGTTTAGCTTTGGCATTCTAACTCTTGAGATAGTAACGGGTCAAAGGAACAACATTGTGTCATGTGATTCGGAAAATCCAATTGATCTTGTGAGCTATGTAAGTATTTCCTCAAATGGATCATATTAACTAAGATGTTTCCATGAATGTGATGACTAAGATAGAAGCATTTAGATAGAAGCATGAATATGGATAAATATCAAAGATTTCATGTTATATACTGGCAGGTATGGCATCATTGGAATGAGGGGACAACTCTAGAAGTGGTGGATCAAAGCATAGCTGACCAATGTCCGAGGCATGAAGTCATACGATGCATCCACATGGGCTTGTTGTGCATCCAAAGCGACCCATCAGACAGGCCAAATATGTCTGAGGTGGCCCTCATGCTTAGCAGCTTCTCTGTGACTCTTCTTGCTCCGTCAAAGCCTGCATTCGTTCTAAATTCAAGCATGAGGAGCCAATCGGAGGAATCCAGAATAGACACAGATTATCAATCTTCAGAGCGACATAATTCTAATCAAAGCATATATCGGCCAAGCGGTCAATCTATCAATGAAGTTACATTTTCCGGAGTAGAACCAAGATAGTGATAGAAAGATTCAGGACAAAGTACATGTTGGCATTTTCAATGTCTTAAATATTTTGATGTTGGCAAAGATAATAATAAGTATAATTTTGTTGGTATTTTGCTTTGCATATATCATTAATTGGTCATATAGGATTTGTTGACTCCAAGCACTGGCAGTAACTTGATCTGACATGATTTATGTACCTTCTAAGTTCTGGATTATAAACATATGAAAAGTTCCATATTAGTATGCCCGTCTTTAATCCACAATAAACTTACAGAAAATGATAATTTCCAACCAACAAAATTGTCACTGGTTATTTACATCTATAGAAGACACATTAACCAAAATATGAATTATGTATTCTCTTTAGCCAGGTTATGATAAAAGCATTCAATGCCCCTGCCACATTTCAATAGGCTAAGTCATACTCTAGTGAAGGCAAGATTAAGCACTGCATGTCCTCATCATAAACATGCAACAATCTATTGGACTATATAACACAATGCGGCCTTCCTTCATAAGTGAAGCTGTAGGCTACAAAAAAATTAGTAGAATGGGTGATAAAACTGTATTACTATGACTCTGATTAATCATATAACAATAAAGTGTTTAATCATATACTTTGGTGATATAAGTGACCATTCCATGCAGATATAAAAATACAAAATCCGTCTTTTGGAGTTTTTTCTGGAGTTTCTTAGTGAACTTAAAATGTTGATGGTTCATTTTTAAAATCCAATGAAACATCTTTTCTGTATATATTTTCTTGATTTTTTAATTCATTATGCATGGAATCCAGTAAAGAAAATAGCAATAGAGACCAATAGGCCCAACACCAGCCGCCCTTTTCTCACTTTGAATTAGCTCCTTTTGGCAACCACTAATCACATCTCAATTATGAAATGAATGACTGATTTCATCCTCACGCTCTAAATCATCACTCACCTAATGGGCCTCTTAACGATGTCCTTGTTGAAGAAATCACAAATATAAAATCCACAGGAATTCTTATAACACCCAAAAATATGCATATATAGACATATATGGGACATGAACCAATATTTATACAAAAAGGGTATGGGACTCTCTTTAAATAAAGAAGGGGTCATTGACCAGTGAGAAGCCCTCAAGTCAAGAAGACTAATTAGAGCTTCAAGACGAGATCAATCTACTATAGAAAGAAAATGCAACTAAATGCAGTAACATACCATCAAGTTCTCAGAATGTTCCAAAGCCATCCCCATTGACGCTCCAGATTGCATCATACCTTTGTAAGGGGTGTGAGTACAAGCTTGATGGAAAGAGGATCCCATGGTTTGAATCCACTAAGAAGAGCCTTGCATGAATAAGTCCAAAAAGGTTTCTCATACAAATGACACACAATGGGTCCAAGAGGCCTTCATATCATAGGCCCTTTACCAAAAAAGAACTAAGAATGGGAAAAATGATGACAACGAGAGATAATAGTTGATACTAACAATGGAGTCAGCATTAAAGGTTAGACAAATCATAAGTTTTCCATTTGGTTCAAATGGAACATGCAGTTGTCTGAAATTAGTTTGGTGATTATGATGACAACAGATATGATCATAGGTGTTACTGAAGCCAATGAGGAAGTCAAACCTCCAGGTGACTGGAGCAAAACTTAGTAGCGAAACCCTCTGACATTGCAGTTTTCAAAATATTTAAAATAATCAAAATAACAAATAGTTATCAATCTTTTAGAGACAATTCATCATGTTTAAGCACATGTATAGCAGTAAAGTTAGAAAAGAATTCTAAGATAACTTAGTAATAATGAGCTTTTTTCTATTTTCTGGCATCTTTGTAGCAATAAGTTTGGTGTCCAGCCATATTCCAAGCAGATTAACCCATAACATCATAGAAAAATATTTCTATCCCCAAAATAACTCAAAATTTAATCAAATATGGTAATCTGAACTGAATCATGCATTACATCATTTGATAGAGAAATGACAACGGGGAGAACAGGCTGCACTAACAAAGAGAAATAAAGTAAGACCAAGATTTCAATATCATCTGGCACGGTTATTCCAAGTCTTCTGACCTACCAACCATGTTTCTGCAACTCAGAAAAAATATTCTCAACTTCCCACCATGGGCAACATAGCAATTAGCTCATCTTCACATTTGCTGATCTTTATCTCCATCAGTTCGTCAGATGAAGAAGGCGAGATATCAAAGCAGTGGTATCTTGGAGCTTCCAACTGAAAATATACAATAACTAACATTAGAATCCACATAAGAATACCAAGAAATAATTAGAAAAAGGACCTCACAAATTTCGCCGTGCATTAGAACACATGGAATGAACGAAATAACCTGAATCCTCAAATGGTTAGCCTTCCAGTAGACAGCATAGGCTTCAATTACTTTTAATAGGAAAATTTCCTCAAGGTTGTGAGGCAGGGGACACACAATGTTTCTACTCAGGCTTGGTATCATATAGGGTATCTCCTTCATACCTAACTGTTCATTTCCTCATATCTTCCTCTCTCTTTAGCACCGTCATCATTGTGAGTGGGACTAATGGGCTGCATGGGCCTAATTGGCCTATTCTACTCTCTCTCTCTCTCTCCGTACATAGGGTAGAGGACTCTCTCGGATTATTCTCTCTTTACTCACACATGGTATCAGAGCTAGGGCACGCTGCTGTCCCCCCTCCCCTCTCATCCTAGGGCACGCCACCGGCCCCCTCTCTCAGGCACGCCGCTGTCCCCCCTCCCCTCTTATCCTAGGGCACGCCACCGGCCCCCTCTCTCATCTTGCACCACGTCGGCCCCCTCTCGTCGTAGGGCACGTCGGTCCCTTCCCTACTCCCTTCTTACCCCTTCCACTCCAGCCCCTTCTCATCCTAGGGCATGCCGCCAGCTCTTCCTCTCATCCTATGCTCCGCCGGCCCCCTCTCATCGTAGGGCACACCGGCCCCTTCCCCGCTGCCCTGCTTACCCCTTCCACACTAGCCCCCTCTCATCCTAGGGCGCACCTGCCCCTTCCCTGCTTCCCCTCTTGCCCCTTCCCCGACGGCCCTCTTTCATCATATTGCCCGCTGTCTCCTCTAATGGCGCATGCCTCGCAACCTGCACGTCCACCAGCAGCGCACACTGGCTCTGCCAGCTACCTGTCTCCTTTGTTAGGCTTTCGTCCCCATGGCTACCTCTTGGGTGGCGAGCTTCAAGCACTTCCTCAAGTCACATGGGAAGTTCTCATCTCTCACCAAGGATCCTCCCGAAGAGAAGAGCGACAAATATGATGAATGCTGTATGGTCGACTCAGTAGTTATTTCTTCGATGCTCAAGAGCATCACCTATTTTATTGCCCGTCCACTTGCTCTTATTACCTCGACCAAGCGAGTTTGAGAAACTTTGGAGCATATGTATAGAAATCAAAAGAACATCTCTAATATAGCGGAAGTCTATGAATAACTTTTTAAACTTAGTAAGGTGAGATGACAATTCAAGATTATGATGCGAAGTTCAGTTTGCTTGTGGACGAACTCAAGGTCTATCAACCTCTCACCACTGATCTAACCACCCAAGCTAGATATCGTGAAAGGTTGACAATGATTGTTTCTCTCTAGCCTCCATCACTCCACTGCTTCTCAAATTTAGGGTCACGTCCTCGCTGCCGACATCTTATCGTCCCTTGCAGTGATTTTTTCAAAGTTGTACATGTGTCAACTTTCCAAGCTGCTCTCACTTCTACTCTGGTCGTCCTTTGACTCCTCCACCATGGTCATTATGGGCGGAAGGGGGAGAGGACGTAGCCGAGATAACGGACGTGGCTGTTGATGTGATGAGGGACGTGGTTCAAGTGGTCGGGGCCATCTCCCTCCCTATGAGCAATATGAGTAGACCAACCACTGGTCAGACAAATGCTAGGACAAATTTAGCAAGCCTGATGATTGGGCTCAGTTTGTGGTTGACTCAACATCATCTAAGAACTCTAACATATCTGTATCTAAGGCAGAATATGATGTTTAGATGAAGTATAAGGAGGTTACATCGAGTCATGCCACCACTCATGCTATGACTTTCACCTCAGTTACTATCACTCTACTCGTCTCAAATCTAACCTCTTGGATTATTAACTTAGGGGCATTGACTCATATGTCGGGTACATCCACCCTTTTCTCTTATCTATCGACACTTTCTGACCCTTACTCTATCGCTAGTGCGGACTGCCGCACTTGTCCTGTAAAGGGACAAGGCATGGCTCATCCCACCTCTCACCTTCCCTTAACTAATATTTTATATGTTCTCAATTTTTTCATGAATCTCTTATCTATTAGTGACATCACTTGAATTCTTTGGTGCTTAATAATCTTCTTCCGCTTTCACTGTACATTTCAAGACTGGAGGACGGGAAAGAGGATTGGTTTGGGCCGTGTGAATGGGCATGATGTCTACAAGCTCATTCTTGATCATCATCCCTCAGGACCTACCTTTATTGCAATTTGGGTTCACTCCATCCTTTGGCATCACATACTTGGCCACCTTAGACTCTCCAAACTTCAACAAACCCTCACTTGGACTTTAATCTCCTCTTTTCATGTGAATCATGTCAATTGGATAAGCATCATAAGGTTACCTACAAACATCTTGGTTATGTTGAAAGCCTAAAACCTTTTTAGTTTACTGTGATGTGTGAAATCTTTCTTGTACCACCTCTCTCTTTGGCCATCGTTATTACATCATCTTTGTGGATGATTACTCTCATATCTCATGGGTCTATCTCTTAAATTTTTTTAATAAGGTAGTTCCTATTGTTCAACAATTTCTTCATGAAGTTGCTACTCAGTACTATTTGACTCCAAAATTCCTCTAAATGGACAACACTCTTGAGTTTTTTCAAGGTCCCTTCCTAGATCACTACACATCTCTTAGAATCCTCCATGAGACTTCTTGTCCTCACACTTCTCAATAAAAAAAGGTAGCTGAGTATAAACATCGTCATCTTCTTCATGTGACCAGAATATTATTGATAAAGATAGA